CACCTTAAGAAACCTTCGTAGGGTTGGAAGACTACGTGATGAATAGATAGAGTTGAACTGTCAACAAAACTAAGTTAATGCCCAGTCTGTAGGTTACATGAGGGTTAGGCCTGGAACCCCCTAAATGAGTCCCATCACTAGATTGCCAATCAGTGAAGCATGTCTGGTTGACACATGGGATTAAAAATGAGGAAGATGATGGCTACAGGCTAACGTGCCCATCCTGTCTTTTCCGTCCCGTCACACTACGCTGTGGCCCAGTCTGTCTCATATGTTTGTGTGTCATGAACATTTTACATAAGTTCTCAATGAGCTTTACATCAGTCATGGCTTCTGTAAGTTGGGAATGGTCTGTAGATGGGATAATCTGAACTGCAGATAATCTGACTAGCAGAGCTACCTTTAATATTTCTATTTACCATTGTAAAAATGTTTTCCTGATAAAGATTAGAAAATGAAAAGCTTCTTGAGAGCAAAGCCTGCCTACAGGATTCCTATGAAAACTTACAAGAAGTAATGAAGTTTGAAATTGACCAACTTTCAAAAAACCTCCAAAACTGCAAAAAAGAAAATGAAACTCTGAAATCTGATCTGAATGTAAGTTAAGAAGGGTATTTATTGGTTACTCATGAATTCGTCCTGATGTGTGACTGTTTGCTGGAGTGCAGGGCAAGCCCGGGTTTGCCGTCTTCCTGACTTCCTGGCCTGGCCCGTAGTGCCCGCCACACGGAAGGTTCTTGATGTGTCTGTTGACTACTCGTTACCAGTAACAGTTACTTAAAATCTCATGTCACGTTGTCTTTTAGAATTTGATGGAGCTTTTTGAGGCAGAAAAAGAACGCAATAACAAATTATTATTACAATTTGAAGAAGATAAAGAAAACAGTTCTAAGTGAGTGCTATTTATCTTTTCCACTAAGTTGGCTTAGAATATCAGTTACTACCACATTCTTTATCTCGTTTTTTTTCATTGCTGGTACCCTCTAAAGTTATTTTTTAAGCATTCCAAAATGAATATCAGATTCTTTTATATAAATGGCTATGTAAAGGAACTTAATTTTTTAAAACATTCAAAAACTAGCTATGGCACTTTTTAAATGAAGGGTGGTGAACAGAACTCAGGGCCTTCTATTGATAAATCACAGTATTTATTATTGGAATATGGATGGGGATTGATTTTTATTTCTGTCTCTACTCTTCTTTTTCTAGCTGCTCTTTTTTCCTCCTGGTCCCTTCATATGAATGCCATTGTCTTTATTCCCTTTCTCTCCAAGTTCTTTTCCTTGGTGATCCCTGTCAGTCTCTCGATCTCAGTCCACCGGATGATTATTACTATAATGAGAAGAATTCGTATTTGTTTATTCCACAGATACTTGTAGAGTTCTTACTATGAGATTCTCTTCTAGGCCCTGGTATGCAGTGGCGAATACATCTAGTGGATGCAAACATCTAGTTGGGAAACAGGCAGCTAACATTTGGTCATTCATTTAAACGCTTAGTGGCATCCAACAAGCCAGGCATTATTCTGGCAAATGCCAAACACTCAGAGATAAAACAGTGAAAACAATAGCCCCATCATCATGAGTTTTACATTCTAGCACAGAGAGATTGGTAAGAAATAAATACTATATGTTATATGTTATGCTGGGGAGTCCTGAGTACTCTGAAGAACAATAAGCTATTGTGGCACAGAAATGGGTCCTTATTAAATAGTTTCTGACTTGTACTGGGATACACCTAACACCACGTTTGTGCCTCGTAAAGTTCAGTTGCGTTGCCTTGAATCTCTTTTGTATAAACAGACTCAGTTCCTGTTTCCAATGAATGAAGCCACCAGTAAAAAATAATTCTTCTCTTCCAGAGAAATCTTAGACGTTCACTCACTGAGGCTTTGTGGTGGTAACAGCCCAGCCCCGGTGATGTGCCTGTTCCAGAGGGAAAGGTGTGCTCTTACTAGAGGAAGGGACAGTCCAGGGTAGACCAAATCTATAGTTGTCACCATCGTCCACAGTAACTCTCCAGAGGCTGGCCAGTTTGTTAAATAATCTAAGATGTAAATTGTTTGTTTTTACTGTTTTTTTTCTTTGCTACTTTCAGCCTTTTGTAAAACATAACTTAAAACCATTTTGTGTTTGATACTGTCTCCTAGGTCTACAGCAACAATTAATAATGGACATTTTGAATGTGGTGCTGTGAATGTGACATGAGTGTGACTGCTCAATCTAGAAAAGCTGCTAATAGACAACCTTGAACTTAAATTTTATAGAAGTTGCAAACATTAAAATCCGTAGCTCTTGAGTGTTTTCTGAATATACAACAAGGAATTAAATAGAGGAAGGAAACTTGAGATCTCCAGGCCAAACCAATCTCTGCACGTATTTTCATCAGGCATGCCCCGTGTGGTTTTTTAAAAAGTTTCAGCATAGCATTTTAAAAAATGAGTTTTTTAAATGAAAATCTGTATTTCAGCATCCTCTTAAAAACCAGACAGTTTGGTGGCACAGGGCCCACATTCCTGCATTGCGACCACCAGCTGCCGTATGAATCTCTCGTTCCCTTTAGAGAGCATTGAGAGCGGTGTGTGCTGTGTCCGTACAGCGCCCTGCCTCCCCGTTTCCCAACACCATGGCTGCCACGTATTTTTATTTTTTTTATTTTTAGATTTATTTATTTTTTATTTTTAAATTAAATTTAGTGGGGTGACATTGTTCAGTAAAATTATATCGGTTTCAGGTGTACAATTCTGTAATACATCATTTATATCGCATTGTGTGTTTACCACCCAGAGTCAGTTCTATCACCATATACCTGACCCCCTTTACCCTCTTCTACCTTTCCCCACTCCCTGAGGCTGCCACTTAGCATCACAGGTGCAATGCTGTTTCTTCTTACACCTGGCATCTGTTTTTAAAGTCGGAATCACTGAATCTAACCTTGGCTCTGTCATAAACTAATTGTATGGGGTTTTTTTTTTGTAAAATCACTTTACTAATCTTACTGGATCTGAATTTCCTCATGTTTACATGTCACAGTTGAACGAGATCTAAAATGTTAAGAATCCACTATATTTGGCTTTGTGTTTAAATTCTATCTTAAAAATAACAGCTTTTCCTTGCTTTTTAAATTGGACATAATTTAATTGTTCTCAATACATCACTTACTGTGGCTCGCCCTGCATGAAACAGCACAACACCGCTCTGTGTTTCTTGAATTATTTTGCCTCATTTATATATAGTTTGTGTCATAAATACGTATGTTCCCCCTCCCTACCATCTATTTTCTATACATATATCTTTAGCAGCCAATTTATATTGCTTTGTAATTTGCTACTTCTGCTCTGCCTTCGGTTAGTAAAGCAGATAGATCCATATCTAATAACCTTCTGTAACAGCC